AGTGGAAAAACGGGGGGGGGGGGGGGGGAGGGGGGAAGGGGGGAGCTCCAGTCTCTCCCCCCCTCCTCCCACATATTTCAGACTGTCAAAGAAAACAATACGGGGAAAGAGGGCATGGTCGAGCTTATTTTAATCTGAAATTAATTATGCATATGTATAGCTACTGTCGCTCTTCACTGCATAAAAGATCGCGTAGATGGTTAAGGCCGGTTCTCACGTGCAGCGAAGCGCTGATGTAACTCTGCTCACGTGCCGTCAGGTACTTATCGTATGCGATGAGCAACAGTTTTGACGGTGCGATGCAAAGCTGGTGAACGCTCCCGTCGGCACGTGCTTAACACGAGGTCAGCGCTATGCTTGCTGCGCTCCGCTGCATGTGTGAACAGGCCTTTAGAAACGCGGTTGTCAGGAGGCACTACTCGTAACTCGTTACATGCTCGGTGGCTCGAAAGTTCAAAGCTATGTCTTTTTGACCTAAATAACTGCGCGTAAAAAATAATCAATAAACATAACAATAAATGCAAAAATAAAAAGCTGGAGCGATGTATTCTTGCATATTCAGAGGCCCAGAACTATGAAACAAGTTTCTCCTACCAAAATGTGTACAGGCCAAAAGAAACACGTCCCCAAAGCGTAAAATGAGAAAAAGAAAAATTTTTTTATGACAAGCTGAACTTAAACAATTTTAGAAATCTTCCCCCATGAGTTAATTTATTCCTCAGCGTGAAACAAAAAAAAAAAGCATTATTTTGTATTCTGCAGATGGTAATGATTTGTACTGTCTCTTGTGTTAATTTAAATGCGATACCCAAACAATGTAGGCGAAAAAAATTACCAAGTTTAGGGCATAATTGTCCGTAGGTACATGTTTGGATATTTATTCGAAACTCGTCTTGAACAACAATAATCATATCTTAAAACGACACTCACCTAGGCTATATATAGATCATTCTTAAAAAGTTTAACATCTCTACCATATATAGCTTCGGCTATAGCGCGCTTCAAATATGGCACAAACGACAATTGTCAAAAACCCGTCGTCCTTCCTCGCTCCTTCGGGAATCTATTTTTCTAAAACCAAGCATGCCAGATGATTGAAATAAACGGTATTGTCTTTCGCAAGGAATGCGTCACCCCATGTAAAATTGTGAAAAAAAAAAAAAAAATTATGAATGTACCTTACTGCTTGAATCCAACTGAAACCGCCCGCCGGTCTTTCGAAGTTCGACGAGCTTCGAACTTTTACCCTAAAAGTTCGAAGTTCGTCGAGCTTTTGACTTTTCAGGAATCGAGAGTTCGACGATGTTCGAATTCTTTAGATTAGTAAGTTCGAAAGGTCGAAAATTATCGAATTTCTTAGTGTAGGAGGTTCGAAAGTTCGAACAGCTTCGAACTTTTTAGTGCAAGAAGTTTGAAAGTTCAAAAATCATCTAATTTTTTTGTCTATCAAGTTTGAAAGTTCGACAAGCATCGAATTTTGCAGCATAATAAGTTCGAAAATTCGAAAAGCGTCGAACTTCTTAGTTTAATAAGTTCAAAAATTCGACTTTTGTTGAATTTCTCGATATGGAAAGTTCGAAAATTCGAAATCTTTCGAACCTTTCGAATTGCTTGATTCGATCATCAAAACTTCGATTCGAAAAAAGTTCGCAACATCCATAGTAAAAACTGAATTAGGAAGAACCAAACATGTTAATATTGAATACTGGGAGAAGATTTCACAAAAAATCAGATTCGCTACGGTAAACAACACAATGTCTTATGAAAATCCATGCTAATGTTTTCTACTATATTTTCCCAACTATAAGTCGCACCCTTGTATAAGTCACACTTTTGTATATTGGGCCGTTTTTTGCAGAAAAGTTGGTATTTATAGGAATCGCACCTTTGTATAGACCATTCCATTTAGCGCTCTCTGGGCGGCACCATTTTGTTCGACCGCAGCGCCCTCTCCACACATCCGGGAAGTTCAGCGGGTTCGGCGGGGTAAAACGAGAGAGAGGGCACGCCGCCGACTCCGCTAGCAGACGACAAACCGGGAGGTTGCCGTTCTCCATCTTTGGGCTGTATCGGCGGGCTCTACCGAACACCGAACTCTCGCTCGTGGCTGCCGTTGTGAAGTGGTTCGCGTTCTTAGAATAGTTGTGGCTACTCCAAAATCAGCCTAGAGCTGCCTGTTGTTATATTTCGGTAAATGATCAACAGACATATCTTTTTTCCGTTACTTAAATAGCAGTTGAGTCAGCCGGCAGTACTACCCTCAACTACTGCGTGTATTGCAGCAGGAGAGCACGTTTTATTTATAATTTCAGACTTCTACTCATGGTCGCTAAAGGCCTACACCAGTACGAACTTTTGTATAGTAAAAGAGGTACAGCAACCGGATTTTCTTTTCGCCAAAGAAACCGGCCAATCTGACACAGTTTTCCCTATTTTTGTTTTTTATTTGCACGCAGGTAACAGTGCAATTGGACCCTGTGAGTCTTTTTATCTAGCATAGTATTACACGATAACTGGCCCACCAAAATCTGCGCATCTACGCTTGAGAGTTCCAAAATGACGCGATTTTAAACACTTTGCACGCCAGCCGGACGCTAGCTACAGCCCACTCGGCGGAGCGGACGGCTTGCGGGGGAGAGGGGGAGTGCATTTTTTTTCTCTTTTACCCTCTCTGCTATGACCCTAATGGAACGGTCTATAAGTAGCACCTCTTTTTTTGTTTTGCACACATCAGTATAGCGAAATTGAAGGTTTTGCACAATCGGTAGCTAGTTCACACATACTGTGTGAACTGTGGAAATTCAAAAGTTGCAAAGGTACACCCCACCCCACAAAGAGCACTGGAAGACGAAAGGAAGGTTTGGAGCAAAGGCTGAGAGTCTTCGTCATACATTTCATGTTCCTCCAAACCAAGAGTAGCCACTTCACATTCGAAGAGCTCCAATGTTCCTGCCTCGCAACTGTGTTACATGCAAGGACAGCACACACAAGAGTGAACAACGGTGAGCCTGATGAGTCAGTCACCAGTCAGTTAAAAATGGTGTTCTGGGGATATAAATAAATCTTGTTCATCATTGCCATTGGCAATTCATAATGTACGGATAGAAAAGAAGCGAGTGGAAAATGTTTTAAGCAAGGCAAGATGATTGAAGCACTACAAGCACATATCTGTATTCTTTTTTTATATATCATTGTCAGGTTCTAATACGACCTCTGATGTATCTGAACTCGTAAAAGCGTCTCTGATAAACGAGGCTAGAGGGTTGATAAGGCTCTGCCGAACTTTCACCGAAGAGTGCCAAAAACTCTCAACCTCCGAGGTAAATAAATACGTAGCGTATAGAGTACCGTCCGACAGCACTCTTGCAGAGCATTCAAGTGCCGTCCGACGGTACTCCATTCACGCAATTCAAGTGCCGCCCGAAAGTTTCGTATAAAACGAGTTCTCAAAACGGTTTTTTCGAATCGGAGTGTAGCTTAGTGGTAAATCTGTCTTATAAGCAAGCGATCCCGGGTTCGATCCCCAGTGCGGGCTTACTCTTTTGTTTTTGTTCTCTCAAACATTTTATTTTGCGGACGCATTTGGCAATATTTACATTTATTTTTTTTTACGATTAACACAGGGAAAATCGTATGTTGTCGCCGAAATTTCACTGAACTAAATGGTATGGGACTTCGTTTCCGGGGGTGCACGGGGCACAGCGGGGTTTGGTTTGCCGGCTGGATGCCGCGAAGCGGCGTGTACGGCGGGGCCAAATGGGTCAATAGTTTTGTAATTAGCAGCCGCATACTGTCGCCGCGAAGCGGCGTGAACACAGGCGGGGGGCTGTGTTAACGAGCTCCCCAGTGATACACGTGTCGTCCGACTCTCTTTCGGACGGCACTTGTAGGCGCAATTGGAGTGCCGTCGGACTGCACTGTAGACACAGCCAAATAAATAACCGCCGAAAAAGTAGCGCAGGGTTTCACGTCTAAGGTCTCGACACTACAACGTAAGAAACAATCGCGCAATATAGACCATGTCATTGCTACGTACGTAGATTGAAAAAGGTCCGGACATCAGGATTTTGTTGGTTCGTGCTCCTATTTAGTCAGGAGCCAAAAATTACCAGTTATGAGCACAGACCTGTTTACTTTCGCGCCCACCGTCAAGTGTAAGAGGTAAACAACATACATACATGAAACGTGACTTAGCCATGAACATGTTTGTCCAACCACGTCCACAAACCACCACCAACCTCGTCTTGATCTCCCAGAGTTTGCGGGCTTCGATGACAGCTGTACGCATAACACAATAACAAAGCCTTTCACACTATAGGCAACCTCTGGTCTCTGGTACCACAACAACTATCACGTGACCTCCGCGGCGGAAAATACGTCAGACAAAAAGAAAGAGTAAAGCTATACGCACTCCGGAGTGCACTTCGGACGGAAATGGCTATACGAACTCCGCTTTTCTCGTATAAAACTAGTGGTCACAACGAGGTTGCTGAGCGGTGGCATGGCATAGTGGTCAAGATGTCCGCTTCATACGAAAGTGGACGCGGGTTAGATCCGCGGTGTCCTTCCTACTTTTTTTTTTTTTTTTTTTTTTCTCAAACATTTTGTTTTGTCGAGGCATTTGGCGATATTTACATTTCTTTTCTTTGCGATGAACAGTTAAAAAAAAAATTGAATGTTGTTGAGAAACTTCGCAGGACTAAATGGTATGGGACTCCCTTTCCGGAGGTGCGATCGGGGACAGCGGGGCTTGGATTGCCGGCTGGACGCCGCGAAGCGGCGTGTACTGGTTACGTTTTGTAATTGAGCAATGCTATATGCACTACAGAGTGCAGCTCCGCAGGAAGTTGCTATATGCATGACGGCGTGGCCCCATCTCGTGGACGCTTGTCAAACCACAGACGGCGTGGCGCCATCTCGTGGACGCTTGTCAAACCACAGATGCGGGCTGCCATCTCGCGGACTTTCTGTCATACTCGCTTTATTTCGCGCATATCGCGAAGGGTGCCGGTCGTAGTTTTGGTGCCTCCTTCCTTAGTCATGGAGATCAGACTCGGGGAGAGATTCGAGTCATACCAAGATTTCGATAAGGCTTTTCGCCTCTTTCAATTGAAAACTAACAGTTTGTTCGTCAAAAAGACTACTAAATCGGTGGCTGTCCTCAATGCGCTTTCAGTTGGAGCGGTCAAACTGGATAGCAAGCTCCAGTTTGCTTATGCGACCTTCACGTGCAAGCATGGTGGACGTCACAGGACGACCGGCACAGGCATCCGTCCGAATCAAAGGTACGTAAGTTAGACCTTGATCTAATGAACATTTTTCTGCAAGCCCCTTTTTTCGGTAGTGTGGTAGTACCGCTGATTGGTTGTCAGTTCTGTCTGACCAATAGACCAATCACACTAAGCGATCCGCGCATCCGTGACGCCGCCATAATTTAGTTTGCAGAACGCACGCGGCCGTGCACGAAACGACTCGTGCCGTCTCGTGCTCTGCACGCGCATAGCAGAGAGGTTGTCCCACGAGAAGAAAGACTAAAGCCTGGTTCAGACAGTTGTGTTAGAAGTTTGCAGAACACACGCGGCCGTGCACGAGACGACTCGTGCCGTCTCGTGCTCTGCACGCGCATAGCAGAGAAGTTGCCCCACGAGAAGAAAGCCTGGTTCAGACGACTGCGTTGCGACTACGAGAAACCAGTACATCCCTGCTGCTTATATCGCGTGCCAAGATGATTCCTTGAATTGGAATCCACGCTTCATACGAAGCACTGATGTGCCGGTTACTCGCTTTCGGTTCTCGACGCAACGCAGTCATACGCACTCAAACGCAAGTGTCTGAACAGGCCTTTGAACACACCATCGCCACTCGTGTTGCCCTTGCTAAGGAAGGTAATGAAAGTCGAACATAGGTATCCTAGCCGTATACTTTTTTAGATGAGTGCACCACATCAAATCTAACTGTTCTTTCCATCGTTTTTACTTCATCAGAACAATGAAGAAAGGCTGCCCGGCTCAGGTGGTCATCGCTGCTAAAAGATTGACCCAGCAGCTGGAAATCACAAGCATTGTGCTCCAGCATAACCATGAGACATCAAGCGAGATCTACAACTCCTATCCAGAGACGTGCAGGCTTCAGGATGATGAGAAACAATTTGTGCAACCACTCCTAGAGATGAAAGTTCTCCCCAGCCTGGTTGTGCAAAAGCTGAATGAAAAGACAGGTAATTATTTCTTCTGTTCTAGTATGACAGCTAGCCATTCCATGATTTTTATTTTATTCCATTTTATGATTTTTCATTCCTCAGGTTTTAAAAGCTCACCGGGATCTCTTTCTTTTGAACTGATTACAGGCAAAAGAATCATCGCCAAAGATCTTCAAAACCTGAAAGACGTAAACAACCGCAGAGAAGGTGCAGACCAACTTATGGAGGTCATCGAGGAGTGCCGGTCCAAGGAGCATGTCAAGGTCATCCCAGTCACTGATGAGAACCAAGAACTGCAAATCCTATTCATCCAAACACAGCACATGCAACAGGTCTTCTCATTCTTTCCTGAAGTTTTGCTTCTTGATGCAACCTACTGGACAAACAACCTAAGGATGCCCTTGTTTGTGTTCGTCGTGGAAGACGGCTCTGGCCGTAGTCATGTTGTGGCCTATGCCTTTGTTGCTTCTGTGCAACAGCATGTTGTTACACACCTGCTGGAAACTTTTGTAAAGGAAAATGCGAGGGCAGCAGACACAAATGTGGTGGTCATTGACAAAGACTTCACTGAAATTGCAGCGATACGGGAAGCTTTCCCTTCACAGCCGGCAGTGCAGTTATGCCAATTTCACGTCATCAAGGCATTTAGGGCAGCTGCCGGACAAGTTTCGAACTCAGTAGAAGAAAGAGAAAGGCTGGTAAGCAGCTTCTGCGAAATGCTACATGCGCCGACGCCAGACAAGTTTGAAGAAGCGCGCATGGAGTTCGTAAGGTACGCCAATGAGGAAGCACGGAAGTACTTTGAAAAGAACTGGGCAACCATTCCTGAAATGTGGGCAAGACATCTTTGTGACCAGGTCTTTACCGCAGGGAACAACACTACAAACCGAGTGGAGTCGCACAATGGAAAACTGAAGAACGTTCTGACTTCATCAGGAAAACTCCACGAAGCTGTACGTGCCCTCCTGAAAATCTCAAGTTCGATGTTGCATGAGGCCAGACACCAGACAGCTCTCCTACAGACTTGCGAGTTCTACTCGTACACTGCGTCCGGAGAAGTTGAAAAGATGTGCTTTAAGGAGCTCACTCCTTATGCATGTGCACTTATCAACAAGGAGCAAAGGAAAATGAAAGAAAGCCCTCCAGAAGTGAGGCAGTCAGAGCCAGATGTCTACAGCGTAAAGTCTGCTTTCGGGTGTCACGAAGTCTCTTTGAAAGAGCAAACATGCACGTGCACCACATTTTCAAAGATGGGGCTTTTGTGCCGCCATTTCCTGGCTGTTTGTCAACAATCAAACAAAATGCCAGACCTGCAGAAGGCTGTGAAGGCACGGTGGTTTAAATCTCACCAATTGGGCTTCATGGCTGAAAGCGCTCGGAAGGCGGCAAGCGAGGCATCCAGAGAAGAAACCGACGTCACTGAAGTATTGACAATGCCTGGACCATCGTACGAAAGAATCAACAGAAATCAACGTTTCAACTTTGCAATGCGAACCTTTAAGGCAATTGCAGACCACTTGGCCGATTGCCCGGCAGCAGTTTTCACTACACGCCTGGAGTTCCTCGAAAATGTCCACTCAAGCTGGATGCAGGGGCAAGATGTGGTGGCAAGCATCGCCAGTGACGACAGTGATAGTCTGGCTAACCCCCATCAACAAGTATGCGGCACAAGTCAAGTCATGCGGGAGGCCAACATCTGCACACAGCCAGAGCACACCACTGATTCACTACCTGGAGGCGAAGGCAGCGATGTTGACCCAACAGAGTCACCTCAAGGACTTCCCTGCACGAGTCACTCTGCACATGGGGTCAACAATGCCTGGACACACCAGGGGCACGGAGGTGTCTCACTGCCTGAGCCAGCTCAAGTCTCTGCCAAGATAAAGCTCCCCATCGTCAAAAGTCGAGGACGCCCAAGAAAGATGCCCCTTCAAAGACGGAATAAGAGGCCAAGGGACCCCTCCAGCGCTCAGCCTGTGTTTTTCACACAACTCCCAGAAGCAGCTCAACACAAATGTAAGCAGCATGATTTGTAACAATTTATTTCCATATTCTTATGTCATGTTTATTTTCAGTGCTTTTGCCTGGCATCGTTGAAGAGGCTGTGTGCAGCAATGTTTTGAGCCAAGGATACATTGTAGAAGAACCGGACGTCGAAGTGCGGCCAGAGGTCCTCCCTAGCGCACTTTTGGATTACAGAGTCAAGCTCCTGAAGCTGAAGAAGTTTTTTGCAGAAGATGCCTGGGCTCTGCTGACCTCATCAGGTTTGTGATATTTTGTTTATAAAAATTTTCCTGGTTTCCATTAATTTATGCTGCCTGTCTTTACATCATGCAAACTTCACAAGCAAATGATTGCATCTGCAGTGGCTACAAAGAAAACAAATGAGCTGTGGCTGTGCCGCAGCTGCAATGAAGCCGACGATGGAGAAAAAAAAATGATCTGTTGCGACCAGTGCCTGGAGTGGTTCCACTGGTAAGGAGTATAAAAGTGTTTTATAAATAAATCTGGTAATATATTTTATTCTACTGATTTTATGCAGGACTTGTGCTGGAGTCAAGCGAGCAGACATCAAGCAGAAGCTATGATTCTGCTCAGTGTGCAACCAGGATTGATGGCACACTGATCCCTGTTTGAACCTTTATGAGAGCTGCGGGCTTTTGGCATTACGAGATAATAAAGATATGTTCCTGCTTGGTTAGTGTTATTTGCACTGGTATGCTTTGCATGCTTATTTGATCACTGTTTACTCGCATAAGACACTTGTCCAACAAGTAGTGCAAAAAATAAAATATTTAAATAGAGCTGGAAGTATTAGTAAATGTTTTTTTTTTGTTTTGTTTTGTATTATCCAGGCTTCTGGACTGGAAATTGGTTATTTCCCCAGGACCAAAGTCTATGATGACCCGGAACCGAGATAGATGGGAATTTTTGCTTATTAGAAAAACTTTAGGCACTGTAGAGGTTAATCTCGTTAAACGCGGCTTCAGTTTGATACCTTTTGGACGTTAGACACCCTCATACATTCCAGATTTCAGCAAAAATTGGCTTGGTTAGTTCTAGATTTGGCTAAACTTGCAAAGCGCCGGCCTACGGATCCCCAGCCGAGGTGACCTCAATTTTACGGAGGTTTAGTGTGGAGAAGGCGACGGGTAACCGAGCTTTCGGTAGCACGTCAAAAGATCCCCAGGTGGTCCAAATTATTCCTCGGTCCTCCGCTGGGGCGTGCCACGTAAAATTCCCCAATTTGACTTTCCTGCGTTATCATATCCGAGCGAAGCCAAAACTAGAAGCTCGAGACCAGCGCTTTTTGCGTTTCTCCCCAGCTCGCGCGCTCGAGCAAAGCCTGAACCCACGGAAGTTTCAAGCTCGCACTTCCAGCTTTGCCTTCGCTCGCACATAAGGTGAAACGAGGCACCCTGGGTGAAACGAAGTACAGTGTCGGGACCAAAAGCAACTTCAACTTCGTTTAGTGTTCTTTTTTTTTTTTTTGTGAGCATGTGGTTTATAAGTTATAACAGTGCTTACACTGCGCGAGCGCGCGTGCTTGGCAGGGATGCAGAAAGCCCGTAGCCCGCGCTTATCACATCTGGCTACGTCTGTACTTCAGTTGAAACGAAGTATATAAAGCGTCCGCAGCACGCAGAAGAAAGTAGGTGGCGAAAGACGAAGCAGATCGCTCCAGCACGGCTGAAGCTACACGAGCACGTGCGTTGCATTGGCCGACGCTCGTGCCGCACAAGAGCTCGAGCTTGGCGGGCACGAATCAAAGCTTGGAGGAGCCCGTTTTCGTAGCGTTCATTGCGCATACTGCAACGCTAGGGGTTACAACGTCGCCAGACACATAAGTCTCCGGCTGCACCAGCTGCACATCGCCCTGGGGCTCATCACACCCCATCACACACGGCCACGGTGCACACGGCATCGCATTTGTGGCACTGTGGTTTGACAAGCGTCCACGAGATGGCGCCACCCCGTCTGTGGTTTCACAAGCGTCCACGAGATGGCGCCACGCCGTCGTGCATATAGCAACTTCCGGCGGAGCTGCACTCTGTAGTGCATATAGCATTGCTCTTTGTAATAGGTGACCGGCGTTTGGCAGCAGCCGCAAAGCACTCTGGGTATTCTTCACTTCCGGTTCGCAGCTAGCAGCCGACGCAGCCCCAGGACGGCTATGGAAGCGTGTGCGGGTGTTGAAACCCGATCAATCCGGGCCACCTTCCTCTCCTGCTGGGTGACTTACGCACTTCTGAACGTCTCAAGTTACTTCTACGGATATGTCAAGTAGTAGTCGGTACGCAGAAGCATCGAGAACGGCCACGAAAGCGCAGAGCGAGTGCGGCCGGCGGCAAGCTGCACTCGCACCGCGCTTTCCGGGTCTTCGCATGAAAACTCAGGTTAGATGTTTCGTTTTCCTTTTGAGCCAGCGTTTTTTATTTGGGTAGTGTTTATTTTTGATGGTTACGTTAGATCACATCACGACTGAAATAGGTGCGAATGTAAGCCGTAGGACGCGGCCAGCTGAAATGCCCGATCGGAGGTCTGGCGTACTTTTCTCATTTTGTTAGAACACCTGAGACTGGGTAAGAAAATCTTGAAGCAATCAAAAGTTGAAGACAGGGAAAGAAGTCGGTCAGACGGCGTTTCAAACTCAGGTAATATGTTTTCTCGCGCGATTGAAACGCCACTTCCGTACACAAGTTAGTTTCGATGACATCTGACTACGTGACAATCCTTGCTTTTTAACACTAAAAATTGGTTTGCTCTGTATGTTTATACAGCCATGATGGAGATGCACCTCAACGGGTAATCGGTCTCTTAGCAGTAGATGAGAAATTTAGCCAGTGCAGTACAACCACTAACCTGGGGTTTTTAACATGCATCACGCAGTAGTGATCACACGGACCCGTGCCGATACGAAACTCATCCAGATCGAAACGGGCGAGGGCGGTGGGGAACCGAGCCCAGGAGGTTCCCAGCGCAAGCTTTCGCTCCACGCTCCGAGCTGAGACGCGTTAGCCCACTCGGCCACTTCCTCCCCTGCTTTTTATCACTCACGCGTTTTTGGTACTTCGACTAGGTTGTCCCCCGTAAACTACCATATCCCCCACCCCCTCTCACGTTTTTTTTTTTTTCTTTTTTTAATGATGTCGAGTAAGAAAGCATGCATGAACGAGCACCGATTGTGATATGAGCTACGCAGGGTCGTACTACCGCTTTATTATCGGTCAATATGAAGGTGCTGTCATTTGCTTTTACTGCTTTATATTACAGCAAGCTGACCTGTTCTTTTGTTTATTTATATTATAGTAAGCCACCCATTCACCGCCGCTTCGCGGGAACAGTCTGCGGCGGCTCATTACAGAAAAAGTTAATCCGAGTTGTCGATATAAGAATTAAACGGCCTGGCGATGGCACTGTATGTCCACGAAACATTATGCCATGAACTGATTGCCTGCGAGATCGCATCTCGCGTTCTCGCGGATGCCTTGTACAACAAGCAGTGCTCACCCCTTCGCGGCTTAATCGAGACCTTTTTGGTGGGTGCCAAAAGACTGTTAGAGATCGTTATTTCCCGCGGCCCCTACCTGAAGACAGAACACGTTCTACTGGCCTGTAACAATATTGGCCACGCATAAACGGTCACCGACGTTTGTCTGTCACAGGTCACTTCGCTCCATCACTCGCTTAACAGCGACGACCCATCGTTGCTTCCATGCTTTGTTTCACGGGAATTGGAACATCGTATGCCCTCTTGGCTTGCGTTAGAACAACGTACCGCGGAACTGCGAACCATTTTTACCGCGAAAACAGCACGGCTACCACGCCTAGAAGGGCTCTTGATGCAGCTGGACGCGCCACGACCGGCACCGGACGAACCGGAACCGTGAAGTCACGTGGTGCCTCGCTTCGGATGACGAAACTTCCGGCTCAAACGCCGGTCACCTATTAGCAGCCGATACTGTAGCAGCGAAGCGGCGTGAACGCAGGCGGGGGGCTGGGTTAACGAGCTCCCCAGTGATACACGCGTCGTACGAAAAGGGTGGCCCGAACGGCATGAGCTTTCCGAGGAGTGCGTATAGTCACTACCGTCCGAAGCGCACTCCGGAGTGCGTATAGCTTTACTCAAAAAGAAAAGTTGGCTCCGCCTTTCCGTACCGCACTGGCCCTCCGGAAAACCCAACCCTTGCGATGAAAGCGATGAAAGTTACCGCGCGACTAGATCGCATCGCCGGTGTGAACGCGCCGTGACTCGCGTCGCACTCACCGAGTCTCCGCTTATGAACCCATCAATTGCTTCACGTTGTAGACGAGAGGGTCTATAACGTGTATCACGCAGTAGTGATTAACTACTAGCGCAAAACAGAAACACTGAACCGGGAAGCAACCGACCGAAGACAACGAAATACAGAAATGAAGTGCTGCAAGTTCAACTTACCTCGACGCGAGGCAAGAGCCCAGACGGCCCAGACTACCGTGAAGCCGTTCACATTGTGGCTGGCTCCCTTGTTCGGTGACGAGGGCATCTGCTGCGACGGTCCTCCGCACTTGGACTACAGTGGCCTAGAGCACTGTACTTGGACTCCTGCAGCTGTGGCACCGTGTTATTTCACTGCGATGTCACATATCCAACGTTTTCGTGAGACACAAACGAGCAACCCGCCATGAAAGAAAAGGAACAAAGACAAAAAAAAATCTAGTGTTACGTTGCCAGCATGAGAACAACAATCACTAAAACCGGCGGTTTAAAAACAGAAAAAAGCCAAGGCACGTACTAGGCGTAGTAAACATCTACACAAAAAACTGCGAGTCTCTTTCCAATTTGGTAAACTTCCTTGACTTCTAACTCAAAAGTAATTCTGAAATTATAAAACAAATACTCGTTTCACCTGGCAGTTTGCACTTGTACAGCGTGTATTCAAGAGATGGCGCCAGGAGTTCCGTTCGTTGCGTAGGGAGGCTCAAGTGAGGGTGGGTGCAACTGCTAGATCGGCGATCACGGGACATGGACGCCATTTAATTGCTAAATTTTGCTGGGAGTCTATGGGGCAAAGGGTCGTTTTCTTTCCTAACTCGGGTCATAAAAGCCCATTAAGGTGCTTGAATAATTTACACAAGGTATAAATGATTACTTTTCCATAGCCACCAGCTTTGTTGCGATAGGTTAAGTCTTTTTTTAACGCGAAAAATGGTAAATTCCGCCATCTTGGACGTTGCTGCTTGTCTGGCAACTTTGCTTTCTCCGCTCGACGCGCTCGACGTTTGAAGCGAGAGAGACTGCGGGACTGCGCCAAGGCGCTCGTTGCTTGCAATGGGAGGCGAGAGGAGGAAAGGCGCATGGAGCAACAGAGTTGCAACAGAGCGGGCGCCTGCTCTCGTGCAGGCAACACTGGCGCATATCCTTTCTCGAATCCTCTCCCTCTGGCGCCGCCATTAAATTGCAAACGCTCTCCAGGTTTTGAGTTGCGCCCACCCTCACTACAGCCTCCCTATCGTTGCGTTCGTTGAGCGTTGTCGGCTCCGAGTCCGAGCCGTCCGAGCAGCGAGCACTGGAAAGCGGAAGAGAGAGGGCAAATAGTACGTGTGGTTGGTGTGGTTGCCGTGCGGTAGAGCCACCTTAGCACACAAACTGCCGTGTAGTGAAGCCAACCATCTCTTCCGTAGAAGATTCAATGATGTCGCACTC